TTAACTGAGACTCTAACAAAAAACTCTGCAGAGCAACACAAAACAACAACACATAATACAAGGGGTCTGCACCGCTCCATCTGCGCCTCCATTAAGTGAGACTCTAACAAAAAACTCTGCGGAGCAACACAAAACAACAACACATAATACAAAGGGTCTCTCCCGCTCCATCTGCGCCTCCATTAACTCAGACTCTAACAGAAGACTCTGCAGAGCAACACAAAACAACAACACATATTAGAAGGGGTCTCTCCCGCTCCATCTGCGCCTCCATTAACTGAGACTCTAACAAAAAACTCTGCAGAGCAACACAAAACAACAACACATAATACAAGGGGTCTCTACCGCTCCATCTGCGCCTCCATTAACTGAGACTCTAACAAAAAACTCTGCAGAGCAACACAAAACAACAACACAAAATACAAGGGGTCTCTCCCGCTCCATCTGCGCCTCCATTAACTGAGACTCTAACAGAAGACTCTGCAGAGCAACACAAAACAACAACACATAATACAAGGGGTCTCTCCCGCTCCATCTGCGCCTCCATTAACTGAGACTCTAACAAAAAACTCTGCAGAGCAACACAAAACAACAACACAAAATACAAGGGGTCTCTACCGCTCCATCTGCGCCTCCATTAACTGAGACTCTAACAAAAAACTCTGCAGAGCAACACAAAACAACAACACATAATACAAGGGGTCTCTACCGCTCCATCTGCGCCTCCATTAATTGAGACTCTAACAAAAAACTCTGCGGAGCAACACAAAACAACAACACATAATACAAAGGGTCTCTCCCGCTCCATCTGCGCCTCCATTAACTGAGACTCTAACAGAAGACTCTGCAGAGCAACACAAAACAACAACACATATTACAAGGGGTCTCTCCCGCTCCATCTGCGCCTCCATTAACTGAGACTCTAACAAAAAACTCTGCAGAGCAACACAAAACAACAACACATAATACAAGGGGTCTCTACCGCTCCATCTGCGCCTCCATTAACTGAGACTCTAACAAAAAACTCTGCAGAGCAACACAAAACAACAACACATAATATAAGGGGTCTCTCCCGCTCCATCTGCGCCTCCATTAACTGAGACTCTAACAGAAGACTCTGCAGAGTAACACAAAACAACAACACATAATACAAAGGGTCTCTCCCGCTCCATCTGCGACTCCATTAACTGAGACTCTAACAAAAAAACTCTGCTGAGCAACACAAAACAAGAACACATAATACAAGGGGTCTCTACCGCTCTATCTGCGCCTCCATCAACTGAGACTCTAACAAAAAACTCTGCAGAGCAACACAAAACAACAACACATAATACAAGGGGTCTCTCCCGCTCCATCTGCGCCTCCATTAACTGAGACTCTAACAAAAAACTCTGCAGAGCAACACAAAACAACAACACATAATACAAGGGGTCTCTCCCACTCCATCTGCGCCTCCATTAACTGAGACTCTAACAGAAGACTCTGCAGAGCAACAAAAACAAAAAACACATATTACAAGGTGTCTCTCGCGCTCCATCTGCGCCTCCATTAACTGAGACTCTAACAAAAAAACTCTGCAGAGCAACACAAAACAACAACACATAAAACAAGGGGTCTCTCCCGCTCCATCTGCGCCTCCATTAACTGAGACTCTAACAGAAGACTCTGCAGAGCAACACAAAACAACACATAATACAAGGGGTCTCAACAGCTCCATCTGCGCCTCCATTAACTGAGACTCCAACAAAAGACTCTGCAGAGCAACACAAAACAACAACACATAATACAAGGGGTCTCTCCCGCTCCATCTGCGCCTCCATTAACTGAGACTCTAACAGAAGACTCTGCAGAGCAACACAAAACAACAACACATAATACAAAGGGTCTCTCCCGCTCCATCTGCGCCTCCATTAACTGAGACTCTAACAGAAGACTCTGCAGAGCAACACAAAACAACAACACATAATACAAGGGGTCTCACAGCTCCATCTGCGCCTCCATTAACTGAGACTCCAACAAAAGACTCTGCAGAGCAACACAAAACAACAACACATAATACAAGGGGTCTCTCCCGCTCCATCTGCGCCTCCATTAACTGAGACTCTAACAGAAGAATCTGCAGAGCAACATAAAACAACAACACATAATACAAGGGGTCTCTACCGCTCCATCTGCGCCTCCATTAACTGAGACTCTAACAGAAGACTCTGCAGAGCAACACAAAACAACAACACATAATACAAGGGGTCTCTCCCGCTCCATCTGCGCCTCCATTAACTGAGACTCTAACAGAAGACTCTGCAGAGCAACACAAAACAACAACACATAATACAAGGGCTCTCAACAGCTCCATCTGCGCCTCCATTAACTGAGACTCCAACAAAAGACTCTGCAGAGCAACACAAAACAACAACACATAATACAAGGAGTCTCTCCCGCTCCATCTGCGCCTCCATTAACTGAGACTCTAACAGAAGACTCTGCAGAGCAACACAAAACAACAAGATATAATACAAGGGATCTCTCCCGCTCCATCTGGGCCTCTATTAACTGAGACTCCAACAAAAGACTGTGCAGAGCAACACAAAACAACAACACATAATACAAGGGGTCTCTCCCGCTCCATCTGCGCTTCCAGTAACTGAGACTCTAACAGAAGACTCCGCAGAGCAACACAAAACAACAACACATAAAACAAGGGGTCTCTACCGCTCCATCTGCGCCTCCATTAACTGAGACTCCAACAAAAAACTCTGCAGAGCAACACAAAACAACACATAATACAAGGGGTCTCTCCCGCTCCATCTGCGTCTCCATTAACTGAGACTCCAACAGAAGACTCTGCAGAGCAACACAAAACAACAACACATAACACAAGGGGTCTCTCCCGCTCCATCTGCGCCTCCATTAACTGAGACTCTAACAGAAGACTCTGCAGAGCAACACAAAACAACAACACATAATACAAGGGGTCTCTACCGCTCCATCTGCGCCTCCATTAACTGAGACTCCAACAAAAAACTCTGAAGAACAACACAAAACAACAACACATAATACAAGGAGTCTCTCCCGCTCCATCTGCGCCTCCATTAACTGAGATTCCAACAGAAGACTCTGCAGAGCAACACAAAACAACAACACATAATACAAGGGGTCTCTCCCGCTCCATCTGCGCCTCCATTAACTGAGACTCTAACAGAAGACTCTGCAGAGCAACACAAATCAACAACACACAATACAAGGGGTCTCTACCGCTCCATCTGCGCCTCCATTAACTGACACTCCAACAAAAAAACCTGCAGAGCAACACAAAACAACAACACATAATACAAGGGGTCTCTCCCGCTCCATCTGCGCCTCCATTAACTGAGACTCTAACAGAAGACTCTGCAGAGCAACACAAAACAACAACACATAATACAAGGGGTCTCTACCGCTCCATCTGCGCCTCCATTAACTGAGACTCCAACAAAAAACTCTGCAGAGCAACACAAAACAACAACACATAATACAAGGGATCTCTCCCGCTCCATCTGCGCCTCCATTAACTGAGACTCCAACAGAAGACTCTGCAGAGCAACACAAAACAACAACACATAACACAAGGGGTCTCCCGCTCTATCTGCGCCTCATTAACTGAGACTCCAACAAAAGACTCTGCAGAGCAACACAAAACAACAACACATCATACAAGGGGTCTCTCCCGCTCCATCTGCGCCTCTATTAACTGAGACTCCAACAGAAGACTCTGCAGAGCAATACAAAACAACAACACATAATACAAGGGGTCTCTCCCGCTCCATCTGCGCCTCCATTAACTGAGACTCCCAACAAAAAAACTCTGCAGAGCAACACAAAACAACAACACATAAAAAGAGGGTCTTTTTTGTAACACGCTCCCAAAACACCCAATCAGATTCAATCAATCATATTATTAATGAGCGCGTCAACAGATACATTTTACTTTTACAGATGATAATTTTTCAATACAGTTTTGAGACACAGAGGCGAACCACCTAAGATAAACAAAAATGAACGAGTATGATTACCAGCAAATGAAGAGACATCATAAATTGAAAAAAAAACCACCAAAAAATGGTTTCTTTTTGTTAAATTTCCTCGGGACCTTAGTCGACAAAAATTAGCAGACCCGAAAGTCTATTATCTTCGAAAATTATCCGTTTCCGCAAAAAACTGGATCGAACTTCTTGTATTTACCTTTCCAAGCATATTCGTTACCACTGCACCAAATGCACAAAAAACTCCATGAATTTAAAAAGCAAACAACTTGAACAGCATGAAAAAAATCACAAAACAGCAAAAAAAAATGGACAAACTTCTTGGAACTCAATTAGTAGCCCAAAACCGGAATAGGCTGAAAGTTTTTAAATTTGAGCAAAAAATGCCCAAATTTTAGGTAGATTTGGGGCTGCGGCAACTAAGTCGATAAAACTAAGCAGGCAGACAAAAGTCAGACAAAGATTTTTTTGACGGGCTGGCAATTTTCCGCTTACAAAAAAACCCGGCCAGATTCGAATCAGAACTTTGTCTTTATAAGCACGTGCGTTAGTTTTTCGCCACATTCACGAATTAACGTCTGACTTTTGATCTGATATGACACAGGGGTAAATTGATTGAATTGCTACTGTTAAGCTAGCTGTTATCCCAAAAAAAGTTTATATTCTTGTTTGATAACGCTTGCTAATCACTAACCTTGAAAAATCAGCGAGGAAAATAATTATCGTTTTGATACTTTGAAATCCAATTTTCACTTACTTCGCATGTTCAAACTTTCACACTGTTCTATTCATCATACTGCTTTTCAGAGCAATTAAAGGATCAGGAACCGTAAGTCACTTAAGTTTCCAACTCAATGATGCTAAAATACAGGACCTGGTTTATAAGTTGAACCGCTTTACATACATAGATTTGACTGTCATGTACACTTTCACATCATAAACTGTCTCTTTTGGATACCATTGCCTTATGGAGAGAATCACCTTGTTGGTCTGTTCGAACTTGGTCTGTTCCGTATCCTCTTTCAGTCTGTTGTTCTCTATCTGCAAATCCACCAGCGCCTTGGACACCTGCACGTAAAACATCAGTTCTGAAGTTTTTATAGCTCCAAACATGAAATCACATTCAACCAATCCACTTGGAATAAAGAAACACAAAAGAGGCTTGGAAAACGGATGGCAACAACACCAACTTAAAAGCGCCATTTTCACTTGTTGCAACCATGCCATTTTTTTAAAAGCTCAATAAAATTTCTGAGCAAAAATGATAATTTTATAATTTAAATAATGATAGCCGGTTACTGTGCAAGTAGCACAGGACGTTCCATTTTAAAAATCTACTAAAATTTATTTTATTTTCAAATAAGTTTAGCTTTTTCTGTGTGGCGTGATAAAAGGATCTGACATAAAACTAAAATTTAGTCATATTCTACCGTCATAGAAATATAGGCATACCACACAAGTTTTTGAAAAAAAAAATCAAAAAAAATTTTCAAACTTTTTATTCAAAATTTATTGATTACCAAAATGGCATTAAACATCTCCAAATTAATTTTACTCGAGTAAAATTAAATGTACGCACAAATAAGCTATTGTAAACGGCCTAAATTAAATTAAGCATAACTAAGACTGATCGCTCGCCTCACTTGCTCGAAATTAGACGAAAAATCAAAAATTTCAAACCGGTTTTTCTCGACACCAGAAAAAAATTTTGGGAATTTTTCAACGTGATTCTAATTACGAGTAAAAGTTTTACACAGATGCGAAGTTGCACTTCGTATACACAAGCAAAAATATGACGGATAACGCTACTGGCAAAAACTGAATGAGTAAAACTTTGATTCTACAAAATTTTTTAAGTGACGCACGCCAATTATGACGCATAAGCAGTACCAGTCAATTTGAAAACAAAGAAAATTACCAATGAATGCCTATATTTATAAAGCAGTCTATGAAGCAGTAAAAACATTTAAAAAATTAAATGTAATGAAAATGAAACAGTTTTTTTTATTAGTTGGAGATTTTTTGTGAAAATAATCACCCCACACGCCATATTAAGTACAAAATGATAAATTTCGCTCCTAGTAACAAATCAACTATGGTAAAAAAAGCTTCCTTCAACCAATTTGGAACAATTTCTTTGACGGATTAAATCTCCGCTTACGCGTTAATAGCGCGAAATATATCGCGCGTTAATTGTCCCAAATTGGCCAAAATGGCAATCTTTAAACTCCCATACCTTTACTCAAAATAATCACAGGTGAACAATTTTTTCAAACTTAAGCTCAGGACAACAATAATTTTTGAATGATATTAAAAAAATCCCTTCAAAAATGGCTAGTCAAAAAAAAACACCTGAGCACAAATATTCCGTTACTTTCGTTACGAAAGTCGGAACAATAATAGTCTGTGTTAAAATCCTTAGCAGGTGGCTGTACTTAATAGTTGGTTATTGACCAAAATGAACACATTTTATTGCAACAATATTTGCGTTGCATGTATAGGTTGGAAAAAAATATAGTTGCTACTATAACACAAGCATTGCTTGAGTAAATATGATATATCACTTAACTCACTCCGATGATTACTTGTGGTACCTGATTTTGCGAGGAAAACAAAAGAAAAAAACTTAAACACACCTAATACATAGTTCCTCCCTATTTTCAAGGGTCGGAACAATTGAATAATTTTTTCAACACATAAGTAAAATAGCGGTATATTTCGAAGATTATTTTTGTGAGTGTTGACTAAACAATGTCATCATTTCCAGCCTGGAAAAGAGTGTGTTGGATGCAGTGGACATACCTTCAGTTTCTCCTCCTCTGACAGGACGTAGTTGGAAGAGATGTCTCTCTTGGACACTGCAATGTCGTTCAGTTTAGTCTGCAGACTCTCCAATTTAGAATACAGTCTCTCATTCTTGTCCCTCAAGTGCAGCTGAAACCCAACTCTGTTTTCTTTCAAAGTAATCACTGAAAACAGCCCACGTGTTTATCAAGTCAACAATGGCACAACAAACTCGATTGAACAAATGATTATTCACACATGCGACCAAGGGCAGATCAAGCATTTCTGAGAGGGCGATTTACAAAAATTTCGTTAACCATTTTTCAGAAAAACAGAACAATTTAAGCCAAATAATTTTGTCACAACGGGTGGCGAGACAAGTCAAATTCCAATAGAGGGCTTCCTAAATCTGCTACTGCATGTCTGTGGCTGTTGTAAAGAAACTTCGCACAATTTTAACTTTTCTTTAAAAACTAGCCTAAATTAACATTCAACAGATTACATTCATTTAACGCACATTATATTATGATGACAAGCCATTGACTGATTTTATGAAACACTAGAAGTCAAGAACATAGCACACAGACAGTTGGAAGAGTCAATGAATGCAACTGTTTTTCTTTAAAAAACCTCGGATTTTGAAAAAATCGAACTGAAAAAATCGATGAATCACTTTTTTGATAAAATTAACTCAATTTGAAAAAACTGGATCAATAGGTCAATATTTTCTGTAGCGGGGAAATCTGATCAAAAAATCCACTTTAGAAATTATAAGTCGATCACATTTTCGTGACATTTACACTTTTGCTGTTCGATAAAGGAAATTGCCTTCCTTTTAACAAATGAAAAGAATTGAACTTAAAAAGAAATCAAAATCCAAACTTCCAAAAGTCAAATTAATGGGTGAACAAATTTTTAGATTTTTTCCTAAAAAACGGAAAAAGTATTCACGGTTAATATGATTGACTATCATTTCGTTCTTTTACACTCAAAAATCCATTGGCAAGATATTATGACACAATACATACACAATATAGTCTCCAATTTTCCTTTTCGTTTGAGCCTTCATTGGGCTGCAAAATAACATGGTTAAACTCACAGACTTATTTTTTGGCCCCACTGCCATGTTTTTTGATGTAGCATTTCTAAGGGATCCCGTCGAAGTATTTGCAGTCTAAGCAGGGGCTGATCTAGGACTTTATCTTAGAGGTCGGAAATCAATGTAAAGACCCTATTTCGACCAACTTGCGATACAACCCTAACCTTATTTCTCAGAGTTATGAATTGTGAAGATCATTGTTAATGTATATTTACAACTCTTGGGAGGTAAATCATCGTCTTCTATGATCATCTTTTTCTGTGCTACTTACATTTTCGTTCTTCACTCTCTTCATTTCGTCCCTGAGAGACTGCACATCTGGTTTGCTACTCTGTTCCGGAACCATTCCCAACTCATCCTGAAGTCTGAGCATCTTACTTCTGTATTGCATTTCTAGTCCCTACAAATCAGCAACAAGTAAATCACTATCTCCTGCTATTGATGAGGCGAGGCGGGTTTGTCATTTTACGACAACGAAATAATAAGAACTATAAAAATTTACCTGAAATCGCAATGGAAAAACATTTGAGTGTTAAAGAAAATGTTGATTATCATCTTTTAAGATAATTGTAACACAAGGGCGATGCTGCACTTCGCACACACAAGGAACAAACACCGGCAAATCAGCTCGTAAAATTCATGAACTTACTATAATAAAGTGAAAAGAAAAACAGCTTCCAAATACGAGACTCAGAACCGCCAGAAGTTTAATAACTTCTGCACTTATCATAGACTGTGGACAGTGGCTTGTGTGTCTGTCTAATATCTGACATGTACCTGTCCGAATGCGTCGTTCATGATGGGGAGTGTTCTGCACCTGCTGAATTGGTCACTGACTCTGAGGATGGTGGCCAACACTGAAGGCTCACAATGGGGTCGGAGACAGGTCATCACTGTCGTCTTACAGTTCCCACTCAACACATCCACCAACAGCTGCGACAGCTTAGAGTCACTTAAACAAACAGACAAAGCACTGCACTACACTTCACTTATAGTTAGTGCCAAATTGCTGGAAATATCGGTGAATTTGAGCAACTAAGTCAGTCAAAACAACACTTTCAGGTTCAAAGTCACCGACTGAGAAAGATACTGCTAATAATTTGGATGTAACTAGAGTTAGTTCAAATCAAATCATATGTTTATATGCACTCGCAGAATTTATATTTCTAAGTACTGTACGCGTGTGGATCAGAAAAATAACCAACCTCTCAAAAGCATCAACGGCACATACGCCACAGGCGAACTGCAAAAGATGCGAGCATAGCGATGTTTAGTAAAAGATACCCTAAATCGCAATATTATGACGACAAACAACATTGACGGAACCTGTCGTACGTCCCAACGAGATACATATCAGAAAAGTAAAGATGACACTCGAATGTTAATTATTTTTAGTCTGGCCCGAGGGGTGATTGATAGGTAGACTTACCCGTGGTCTATGACTCTGTCTGGCTTCTGTTCATTGGCTATGCTTCCCACCATTCTGGACAGTGCAAACAGTCCCTTGTTGAGAGTGGGCCCCTCTCTCAGTCGTAACTCCTGTGAGTCATAGATCAACTTCTCAGCAGCCGGCAAGTCCACAAACACCAAACGAGACCTGTTCGGAGCTGGATTATCACGTGTGACCTTAAAAATTGTTATTTTTCACCAGGCCAAAATTAATGCCTTAAGAGACATCCTAATAAACTCGAAGAACTAGAAACAAAAGACCATTCCGGATCAACCGTGCAAACCTCGCCGATTGTTTGAATTATTAACTAGTAAAATTATCATATGGTTTGAGGGAGAGAGATTGTATGCATGACCTAATCTGTACTTCTTTCTTGGCATCGGTATATCTCTTAAGTAATTTTTAGTAGGATTACACGGCTGTATATACACCAGCCGAAAAATTAACCATCTACATATATATATATATATATATATATATATATATATATATATATATATATATATATATATATATATATATACCAGCCGAAACTACGTAACAGTTACGACAGTATTGCAAAAATCATTCATTTGGTTTAACTTTTGGCTGGTTTATATTTTACTCCGTGCATTTTCCGTTGGTTCAATTACACTAGGATTACACAAACAGTGAATATTGTCCATATCTATCAATTCTGAGTGCAATATTGCAATAGGAAGCAACGGTTCATGTTAAAAGGTGGATCGTTCATTTTGTTCCGAATTTCGAAGAAAACTGAATAAATTTTTTATTCAGTCAATTTTCGGCAATCGAAATATCAGGTTTTACCAGAAAAAAAAATATTGCCCCATTGATGATATTGACTCCTTGCAATCAAATTCAAAAAGATATTTTACCTCCGATCATTTTTTGCAAAGTTTTGGGAGTTTGAAAATTACCAATTGGGTCATGCTCTGGACTAATTTATGCGCGCTTTGTAGATTTTATCCTAATCCTGAAAACTAAAGCAAACTATTCATGCAAGTTATATCGCAGAACAAGATCGTTCCAAAGTGAATTGAGGCTAGCTAATTGGTCGTATTATTTTTCACACTTGATCTTTGATATTGTCCAAAATTTACAGTTTTTCAATATTTTCTTTCGCCAGAAACTAATCGATATGGATTAGTGGTAGTTGCCCTGACATACGAGCAGTCTTGTTTATACAGTTTTTGTTTCGACTTTCGAAGAAAATGACAGATTATTTGTGCTCGGTTTGGTTTTTTCGACTTTTTAACCAGCCATTTTTGATGGAATTTTTTTATATCAACCAAAAGATGTTGTCCTGGGCTCAAACTTGGAAAGATATTTCCCATGTGACCCTTTTTCGTCAAGTTATGGGGGTTTAAAGATTGCCAATATGACCAATTTGAGACTGTTAACGCGCGACAGCGTGAGCGAAGCTTTAATCAGTCTTAGAAACGGTAGCAGGACAACCTACCCCATTCCAATTTACCCAATTCTATTTCAACCAATGCCATTCGCATTCTACCCTCTATGCCAATCTACCAGCAAAATAGAGATCGCCGCAGTTGCGCCAACGTGTTGCGAGCTTGCCTGCAAAAGATAGGTCTGGTTATCGCCACTGGCGATTTTAAGCCGAGATAGTCAGCTCAGTTATCTTTGACCAATTGAACCATTTATAGAACAAAGGGTAAATTGGCATAGTATAGATTGGTGTCAGGACTATTTGCCCCAGGTAAATTGGCCCTATGCCAACTTGTCCTATACTAACTTGCCCTACATGGCAACTTTTCCTATGCCAACTTTCCCCACATGACATTTTTTCCTATGCCGTTTTGTCCCATACTTAACACTTTTACTTGATTCTTTGATGTTCAAATTAAGGATTGTTGTTTTTCTGTTGTTGTTGTTTCTCTGATTTTTGTTTATTCGACAGTGGAGTAATGGATCCTGAGTGAATTTTGATTTTCGGTGATCGAGATAATGTTCATGCCTTCCGAGTCCACAATTCACTTTGGCTTTGCGACGGTACGTTCAAAATTTGCCCAATGCAATTTTACCAGCTTTATAGCATACACATTCAAATCGGTGGATTTTTCGCACCATGCCTTCATGCTCTTCTGCCGAACAAAACTGAACAGATGTATTCAAAATTCCTGAAAGCCATCGCCTCTGTCTCTGATAACGCGCAGCCATCGAGGATCCTTCTAGATTTTGAACGAGCTGCCGTAAACGCTTTTACCAGTGCGTTTCCGGAGTCTTCAATCAAAGGCTGTTACTTTGACCTCTTTATACGTGAAAGTAACAGCCTTTATACGTATAAGTAGGCCAGGCCTTTATACGCAAAGTTAACGAGCTGGGTTTAAAGAAACCTATGAAAACAACTGCGAGCTGATTTTTCTAATTAGCAAAACTATTTTAGTAGCAATTACAGTTGACTGAAAATGAAATGAATACACTAAGCATAATAGTTTTCAAATTTAATACATGCATTACTAATAATTCTCAAAGTTTCCGCTTGTTGTAACATTGCTTCCAATTTTGTTATAATTGGGATGAAAATCTTACGAGTGAAAGGTCGATTTGGAAGATGACGGACGAGTATGTGTGGGACAGTCCATAGTCAGTCTGCACTTGCGTTCTCCTCCCCCACCCATCTCTGAAGGCCCTGGTGGCCTCAGCCCCCGAATTCACACTCAACTTCTACACATTCAGTCCAGTCATTGCCATTTATTTTAACTAACTATATCAAAATGTGGTTTTACTCATTTAATACTTATTAGCAGATCGATTAATGAAATATTCAGCAAAAAGAACACCATCTTCGAAAAACTATAAATACATATGCTGTATGAAAGATTAATGCTCAATGTGACACACAAGAAGCGAACATTCTCTATGTTCCTTCTTGTACTTCAACAGATTAATTCACTTTAATCAACAATTGCATATCATCCTCACTTGTCCGTTTTGCACACAGAAGCCTTCTTCTGCAGTCTCGACCACTTTGAGGAAGTCAGACTGTGCTTTTGGAATTGTGAACAAGTCTCGCACCTTCTCATTGTAGAGCTCGAACATGGAAATCGACACTTGGCAGTTGGACTGAATTTTGGTATCTGAACAAAATATCAGAATTAACTATCTATGGGGTAATAAAAAAACGGATCCTCGAATGCCTATGGGTAGGTAAAAATGGCTAGTCTTATCCAAATAAGCCATATGAAAACACAAGCTGGCTGCTTGCATACTAATAAATTCAAACGAGTGTTGCATCGCCACAAAATTCTCACAAAAATTAATGCAACTGCTTCGAAAAGTTTTCTATTTGCTGTTGGCGTCGTTTTGTTTTTACGAAAGACACTAGTATACAAAATTAAACAAAAATTTACGTTTTTATTCTCATAAATGCATTTTTTCAAGGCCATATTGGACAAGATTTATTTGACTTTTCACAAAAAAATTTTACATAGACCTGCTGCGAATGGTCTAAACTACCTTCTCTGAAAGTTTTAATTTTTGATTTGAATCACTTACCAGGTCTGAAAATGCCAGTTTCCACCATTAGTAATGTTTTTTCAATGGTGTGAAATTATAAGAAACAACAGAGCATAGGAAAGTTATCACACTGAACAATGAAATTTACTAGTTTAAAATAATTCACATCGCATGCTCAGTTTTTACTAATTCGCTTGCTCAAAAAAGTGTTCACTCCCATAAAAACCTCATGACAAATCGTAAAAAACTGGTATTTTCAGACCTGGAAAAAACTGGCAAGTGATTCAAATCAAAACTTTCAGAGAGTAGTTTAGATCATTTGCAGCAGGTCGATGTAAAAAATACAGAAACTTTTTGATTTATTGATTCACAAAATGAGGCTAAAAACTCCCAATACCTAACTTTACTCGAAAAAAAATTAAGCATAAAGACAATTGGGGAAAAACATTGGAACTGCCATAAAAAACTAGAGGTATCAAAATGAATAAAGGAAATTTACTTAGCGGAAAAACCAAAAGTACCTCAGCAGAAACCGTTTAAGCCGAGAAAAAATCAAAAAGACAGGAATTACCAAAAAATTTCGATCCCCTCTCCCCCTTAAAACACCCTTACACGCAGACGAACAATTTCTTCGTTCATAACACAACGCAATATAAAACCACTAAGCCGATAAAATATAGGCCGGAATCATTTGGACAGAATAAAGTTTCTGAGCAAAAAAATATTCGAAATCAAAGTTAGTAAATTAAAAACAGCAGCGGTAAATCAAAACACTTAAAGCAACTACAATATGAATTGCGTGAAGCGAAAAAAAATACTATGTGGCAACTAAGCCGACAAAACAAGCAGATAAACTCTAAGCCGATCATTTTATCAATTGGAAAATTTCCTGTTTGAAAAAAAGGTCCTTTCAGATTCGAAACCACGATCTTTGCCTTCCCAGGCGTATTCGTTACCTCCAGACCAAGCGTGCAGTACACGCAAAAAAATCAATTCATTATGCACTGAACTTGAATTTATAATTTCTTAAATTTACTTAAATTTAATAAGCAATTGTTAAGTTGCTATGAATTTATAATTTCTTAAATTTACTTGAGCAATTGTTAAGTTGCTCGCTCGCTTTGTTCGCTAGAATTTATACTATAAACACAGAGAGGAAGCCGAGCTTCGCATCATTTCCAATACCACAAAAATAGCATTGCAGGCTAGCAGACGGGTAAGGAAAAGGAAGCCAATAAGTCTAAGCAAAACGGAGAAATTTTAGAAGAAACCACAACTAAAAGACTTCAAAATGTTGTCTGGAATAATGTTTTATTTGCAAAAAAAACACGTCCGAAGCACATTCGGCGGTGGTTGAAGAAAATTAAACACAAAGGCGAAGCTAAGCTTTGCAACACTTGCGATGCAAAACAAAAGCACATTGCGCTACAAAATAGCGAATGAAAAAAAAAGACACAAAAAAAATCTGAAAAACTATGTTGGAAAAATTTATCTTGACAAAAATTGTACAATTACAGCTACAAAACTTCATAATTGCGTCGGACGTAAGTTCACGCACAGCCCTTAAAAATTGCAATCATTTACCGAGCGTCGACAAAAGCAACAAACTTAAGGGTCGAAACCAGTTGCATAAAATTTAAAAACTTTCACGACCCATCCAAACTGAAACACATAATCCTAAACGTATATATTTAGCCCTCGAAATTACGCAAAATAAGTTGAATAAGTTAATACAACATACACTGAAACTTTTTAAATATTTAAAAAAAACGAAAAAAACTCAAAATCAGACATGGTAAATTTACAAATTTGTGAAGTTTCAGTTATAGTAAACACTGTTTAAATTTGAAAAAACCCATGCTTTAAAAAGTAAATCAATAAAAACCTACCAGATAAAAAAAATGGCGTTTAAAAAAACGGAAAAAGGATCGACAGAAACTAGGACAGAAACCACGAACCCGAAAAAAAATAGATTTTTTAGAAGAGAAAATTACAACCTGAAACGAGCTTGAACTAATTACTACTTAAGTGATAGAAGTGAAGAAACTGAGTATTCTCCTTAAGAAGTGAAGATCCTCTAAGATACCAAATGATTCTGTTAAACAATGTGTTAATCTGAAAAAAGTCTATATACCGATTTGATAACACTTGCTAATCGCAAGCGTACATGTGATATATCTTTCGATCCATTCAGATGATTATTCTCGTACCTGATTAAGCATGGAAAAAAACTAAGCCACCCGAAAACAGGTCAAGTTACGTACCTTTGCCGAATTCTTCGGATAACCTGGAGAAGAAGCCATCTATAGCTAGCGGGGCTAATCCTTGCTTATGAATATTCTCTCCAGATAACGTGAATGATTTTCCAGATTGACTTTCTCCGAAAGTGATAAACGCACAATTGAAACCACTGATACAAAGTTCAACCAGAGGTTCAACTGAACGTTTGTAGATTTCAAAATTGTTGGCATCTTGCTTATAAAGGGTTCCGAAGCTAAAACATTTTTTAGATATACTTTTCCGGTTGTCGAAAAGAGATTTTGGAACTAAAATAACAGCCACTGCTCTTTTTAAATATAAAAAAATTCACAAAAACGCACACAGAATCATTTCACAAGTCACAGCTCAGTGATGGTAACCATTTCGATGAAATCAGGGGTTCCGAAAAATTAGTAGGAGTCCAATTAATTGATTGAGAGGCGTTCACCAATTATTTAATAGAAGAAAAAATAGAATTTAATTTTTTTCTTCCAAAATGATTGATAAACTAAATAAGAGATTGGTCTTGCTCCAATTTATCGGAACCCCTGGTTGAAATATGTTACGTTTAAAAAAGGGCTAGGTCTTTTACCAGACCGACCTTTCACCAGACCGACCTTTTATCAGACCACAATGCAATAACTCAATTAAGATAACTTAAAATAGGATTCGAAAAGGAGAACAAACAAAATTTCGCTCAGAAACCGTGAAAACATTGTCTTTAACCAGACTACACGGCGTCAATACATCTGACAATCAAATTTGTTTATCGAGTCTGGTAACAGGTCCCTGTTATAACTTTTCTGGTAAAAGGTTGGTCCCAGTTTAAAAAACCCATTTATTAAGCTTTTTTAGATAGAAACGATTACAACATTTTGATAATGAGTATTGAATTAATCTTAAAGAATTCTAACTTATGTGACACTCCTCCAAGATGACTGAAGACTCGGGTCGCCTGCGAAATCTGCAAAGAATGAGGACCTTCACCGATTTGCGACGATCTGATTCGCCCAATACTATCTATATTCATTTTCTGATAGCTTCGCTCACATGACTGCAATATGCGCAATTATCTGTACATACTTCATTTATAACACTCTGAAAATTGTTTAAGGGAATCTGAGCACTTTTTCTTTTTCACAGATCAGCAGGTTTAAATATCAGTGCAACAAGGCAGTCAAAATCAGGTTTTAACAGAGGCGAAGCTGAGCTTTGCACTACTTGCGATATAAAAATGCTATTACTCCAGAAGGCACAGCAGAACCTTCCGGAGACAACTGAAGATGTCAAAAACACCTCAGAATTCAGACAAAGAATTCAGAATATTCCAGAACTTTTAAACTTTCGATTTGCGGTGTGAAATTTCAGAGAAATGTCAAAATTGACCATATTTGGAGACAAGCACTGTAACATTCGCCCAAACATTATAGTAACGTAGCGTAAAAAAGCACCTATTGACCACTGGCAAGCGTTTTTCACCGTCTAGACCTAGCCAATTAGTTTTCTGGTCTGTTTAGGGCTAAGTAAAAAGTTACCTTTTTAGGCCATCAGTCAAACGACTTTTGATCAGCTTCCGTTTACATGCAAAAATAACCCCATAGCTGGGTCTCGGATCCCCAGACCAAGTGACTACTACTAAATACATGGCTCGAAATCCATTATTTACTATGTTTTTAGTGAGTAATATGCTAAATCCACTGGAGCTGGATTGACTTTTTCAGTTCAGTTGATTTTCTGATCTTATAGACGTTTTGTCGCCTTTTAGGCGTTGTTCTTGAAAGCGTTCAAAGCCTTCGAGTCAATTACTTCTCCTGGCAACATATTCCTGTAATCTGTAGCTGATCTAATAGTTTAAAAAGTTTTCCGCAATTCGAAGATGACCTTCTTGTTTATCACCTTCTTGTCATTTGTCCTTGTGTCACGATTATTTAATTCGAACATGCCCTTTGTAGCTTTTGGGTCATAATGGTTGTAACCTATTTGAACATTTCGATCATTGTTCCTCGCCTTCTGTGGTATTTAAGTGACGGTAGGTCTAGTTTCTTTAATCTTTCATTGTAGCTTAGTGTCTGCAGCGCTTGTACCATTCGTGTCGCTCGTCTTTGCACATTTTCGATTGATATTGTGTTCTTATTTAATCGCGGGTACCAGGCATGATCGCAGAACTCCAAATGAGGCCTTATGAGGCCTTCATAAACATTTAAAAACACAGGTATAGTCATTTTAATGAACCTTTTTATGAAAATTGCTTTTGCCTTTTTAACTTTTGCTAAGATATGAGAGTCAGAGGAGAGTTTACTATCGATGATCACTACAAAGTCCTTTTCTTCTCCTACTCTTTCAAGCTGTATATCGTAATGTTCATGTAATCTTATTTCACGATTTGATCTTCCATTTGAGATTATCATATGTACACATTTATCTACATTGAAATGCAAAACACTATTTTGGACCATTCTTCCAGTTTTCTTAGATCTTCTAGCAACAATTCAACGTCTTTGTCACTGGTAATTTCTCTGTAAACTTTTGCATTGCCTGCAACTAAATACAATTTCGATTTGACTGTTTCTGACATGGAATTTATTTATATTACAAACAAGACAGGTACCAGTACATATCCCTGGGGAATCGCACTCAGAACATCCTTCCATTCAGATCTACTGTCATTTATCACAACTCTTTGTCGCCTTATTAATAAAAACTCGCTGATCTAGCCCAGTGTTTTTCCTTTTATTCCATTTTTGTTACAGAATTCCTATCAGTCTTTTGTGCGGAACCGAGTCGAACGCTTTCTTGAAATCCAAGTAGATAACATCCTTTTCTCGGCGACTATCTATTGTTTTTGTGAAATCATCCAACACTCTCAGTATTTGTAATTGTGGTGATCTACCGGGCAGGAAACCAAACTGTTCGTTTACAAGGATTTCAATTTTTTCTAGATGGTCCATAAGATAGGCTCTAATTACTTACTCAAATTTTTTACAAGCAGTTGATGTTAAGCTTACTGGACGATAGTTGTCAGCTAACGCCTTTTTTCTTTTTGTGAAGATAAAGGCAATGTGAGCAAGTTTCCAGTCTTTAGGTAGCTTCATTTCCTCCAAAGATTTGTTTAAAATTTTTGTTAGAAATTGAGTCAGGAAATCTCTCATTTCAAACAGAAGTTTCGGGTGAATTTTGTCGGGCCCTGGAGATTTCGATGTATTGAGTGAGACTAATTGCTGTTTCACCAATTTCTCTGTTATTTCTTAGTCCTATATTGAATGAGTGATATCCATTTCTGGAGTTTTCCATTCTCCTGGTGGTTCGTGTGAAAACTGATGAAAAGAACTTTGACAAAACTTCAATTTTTTGACCTCATTGGTCGTTAAAGATCAATCATACGGCACTAAAGCTGGTTTTGCATTTTGTAACACAACTTTTGTTCTCACATCGCTCCAGAATTTTTTTGATTTCATTTTTACATCTTAAGTTATTTCACCTTCCTTTGCCCTTTGATCATTTCGTGTAGCTGTCTTAACAGCATTTCTTTTTTCTTTATAGTTGTCAAAGTTTACTGTCATTCTATTGAAGCAAATTTTTTCCAGATTTTCTTTTTTGCTCTGATTGCCTGTCAAGTGGTATTGGTGAATAGTAAATTGTTTCTACACTCCACTTTGGATTGAGCTTAGTCAATGGTACAAATTTTTTTGTGAGTACAGTCAGGAGTTCGCGCAAATCCGTTGTATCTAATTATGGTTTTACTAATGTGGTCGCTCTGTCCAAAAGGTGGCTTGATATTAGTGTTAAGGTCGCTTAGACCGTCATCAGTTTAAACTATATCTAGTAGTGATGTTTTATCCCCAGCAGTAATGCGAGTTGGTTCATCGATGTGTTGTGTTAGAAATTCATCCCCAACTGCTTTTAGAAATTTGAATTTTTTGCTCTTCTCGTCCTTGGTTGTGTCGCCCAAGATTACAGTATAAGCCTCCACATATTTTTCGCATAGTTTTTTGATTGATTGGCAAAGGCAATCGTTATTCATTTCTGGTGAATTTGGGCTCCGGTAGACAACTGCCGAGCGGATAAATTTCGAATCAATAGAAATGACACATATCATCAATTCTTGTAACTCATTCGGGATTTGTCTACTGTAGTAGTCTGTCTTTATTCAAGAAAACTAAAATTGCTCGCCCGCAGTCGTTTGGATTCATGTTTATTGACTCAATGTTAGGATTGCTATTTTTGTAACAAGCTGGATTCCACTCGGTTTTTGAATTTTTCGGTTTTGCTTCTACGAGAGCAATTATATCTGGTGGGTTTTTTTATCTTCAGTTAATTGGATCAATTCCTGATGTTCCGTTTGGGTTATAGTGTCAATATTTGTGTACCAGAAAATCAATTTTCTAGTCTTGCTCTCTTGACTTTCAGTATGTGCGTGTCTCGAACCAGATACACATAGTTTCCTTCTTCCTGATCGTTTACGGTTTTTGCTTTCTTAACTAAGTTTCGCTCTTTTTCTTTTTCTTTCAGACTCCAATTCGGGCTAATTCTGAGAATTCTGATTTCTGCAGTGGCTTCTTTCAACTTTGTACCAGTTGTTTCCTTGGTTTGTTGGTCCGTTGTTAAAATTGCCAGAATTGTTCTTCTAATATCCGGATCTCGATGGAGGCTTCAGTAAAAAATTATTACTTTGACTTGAGTCTCAACTCCTCTGGTAATGGCGCATTGGTTGAGAGTGGTGTGTATTGTGTCGCTAACCTTGTTCGAAGTTCATCATTCTTCACACCATCGATGAACTTCGAGGGTACTGCCAGGTTCATCCTTCTGTTCGACTCATCTGGTTGGCTACGCCTTCTTAGCATCTCCAGATTGTGTAGAAACCTGTCTATCGTCTCATCTTCAAGTTGCCTCTGTTTCTCGAAACGCATCTTTTCAAAAATCAGCTTTCGGTTCATTTCAATATTATCTTGTTCAGTATTGAAGAAAACCAGCAATGGTCTATTTATATCCTCATTGGTTTTCCGACCGAGTCGGATCGTTTTCATAATTTGTTTGTCTTCCATGTCGATACTTGATAATAATTTTTCAACATTTCTCTCATCTAATTTTTTCTTTGATTCACTGTCAGTAGCTGCGCTCTCCTTGGCTTTGTAGATCACAATGTTCTTTTTTCTTCGATTTTCTTCAGCTTCTTCTCTCTTTTATTCTTCTGTTGCTTCTGTGATGATCTCTTTCAAAGGTTTCATCTTCCGATATACAACTTCTTTCAAAACTCCTGTCTGTCCATGAACCTTTACGTGAGATGGTCCTGCTATGAATTTATAGAGATCTTTCATCATGTTTTTCATGTTGTTTATAGTTGTGTCGAGATCTGCTCTTAAGTTTTTGGTCAAATGATTGGTTCCACTTTTCTGTTCTTCACTGATAAGTTGCTTCGCGGATGGACAACAAGCTGTGCACCACCAGATTACAGTAGTTTGGCACACATTCTGAGAGGCTGCGCCATGCATTTTAAGGCACTTTGCACAGTAGTGTTCACGGCAACGCTCACACTCCATGACTTTGTCTAGGGAATTTCCATATTTTTCCTTGTAAATTTTACATTTCTAAGGCTCAACGGGACCACTTACTGATTTTGTGACTTTATGGCGAGTTTTGGGTGCATTTTGGTTGAGCTCACTTTCTATTGGCTTTGCCGCTCTAAGGTAACGAAATCTCAGAAGCTACAAAGCAAGAAAATAATGAAGTTTCTTAGAATCCCTTCTCTCCTTCTATGCCGGTCCAAGATAATTAAACCTCAGAAACTACAAAAGCAAGAAAAATTGAGTTCTCTTGACCAAGTTAAACAATACATTTCTATCAACACACTCCGCCGCTCCAAGATAATTAAACCTCAAAAGCTACAGAGCAAGTTTGAAGAAAAGCGATAGGTTTTAAGTGGGTATTTTACTGCTTCTTGATTTTTGGTTTCCTCTTTAATTTTCGTTCAAGACTAGCTTACGAAGTTTTTGCTTGTTCCGTAAAAAAGTCCGCAGGAGTTGTAGTTCCTTTACAGAAGTGGGATGACTTTTTTTGTGTCTCGTCTACTACAAAACTTCCTTTATTCTTCCTTTTTGAGTTCAAGTGTT